TTTAAAGCAGCCAAAATCATATGTTGTATTTTTCAAAAACTTAAGCAAAAAAGTTGCTGAACTCAACACAGTGCCAGATTCTTTATTGCACAAGAATGTTAATCACAGAAAAGGTTTGCATGTGTGTGTAGAGCAGCTGCGACTGAAAATCATAACAAGCTCACAGTTTCCGTGACCTGGATTCTACTCTTAGCGTCTAACAAAAGTTAGCAGGTTATGTGAATACACACAATCATGAATAGCAGAGTCGACAATGTTCTACTACCTTTACTCCAGCTAACTGTGGGAATAGCTTGTGTCATATACTGATATGTTTTACTAGACTTACTCTTGAATATACACGAGATTTGTGACGTCAAAAATAGATCATTAACGTCCATACAGAGAGAATTACTCACAAGGTCACCTTGAAGACTTCAAGGTCATACGACACCACAACTTCCAACCGTTACACAACTTTACGTTACAAGTTCGGGACGTGGCGTGATTGTCACATTCTGACACATACTGCCGACCGGTGTACGATTAAACAGGGAGAACTAAAGTTACAACCATGCTGGTGCCTGGTGGAGTGCCGAGGCTGTACGTGTAAGTAACTAAAGTTACAACCATGCTTGTGCCTGGTGGAGTGCCGAGGCTGTACGTGTAAGTAACTAAAGTTACAACCATGCTTGTGCCTGGTGGAGTACCGAGGCTGTACGTGTAAGTAACTAAAGTTACAACCATGCTTGTGCCTGGTGGCGTGCCCAGGCTGTACGTGTAAGTAACTAAAGTTACAACCATGCTTGTGCCTGGTGGAGTGCCGAGGCTGTACGTGAAAGTAACTAAAGTTACAACCATGCTGGTGCCTGGTGGAGTGCCGAGGCTGTACGTGTAAGTAACTAAAGTTACAACCATGCTTGTGCCTGGTGGAGTGCCGAGGCTGTACGTGTAAGTAACTAAAGTTACAACCATGCTGGTGCCTGGTGGAGTGCCGAGGCTGTACGTGTAAGTAACTAAAGTTACAACTATGCTGGCGCCTGGTGGAGTGCCGAGGCTGTACGTGTAAGTAACTAAAGTTACAACTATGCTGGCGCCTGGTGGAGTGCCGAGGCTGTACGTGTAAGTAACTAAAGTTACAACTATGCTAGCGCCTGGTGGAGTGCCGAGGCTGTACGTGTAAGTAACTAAAGTTACAACCGGTTAACCATGCTTGTGCCTGGTGGCGTGCCGAGGCTGTAGTGTATATCGAGGTAGCCTGGAGTCCAGCCTCCCTAGCGGATGTTGGCGAGCGGACTAAAGTTAAACAAGGCTGGACGCCAGGCTATATCGATGTTCCTGGGGGAAATATTATATCCAAACTGCATAGGAGAGGGGAAATCACGTGACCTGTGACTGACAGGGTGTTACTGAGAGTGAGGCTTTGGGTGTGTCACCTCCATGGTCTCATACCGACGTTTTTATACACCATCCTCGTCTAAAAGCAGCCCACACTAACAATAGTGGTGGTCACAAAATGATTGCACAAATGTAACAAATGCAGAGGAACAGACGAATTCAAACTTTCTCAAACCTCCAGGTTGCTTTCGTCACAAGTTGCCTACGTCATATCCGTCTGCCTTTAGAAGCGCCCTAGTACGTCCGACGTCATGTCCGGTTAGAACTACGGTACGTCCGACGTCATGTCCGGTTCGAACTACGGTACGTCCGACGTCATGTCCGGTTAGAACTACGGTACGTCCGACGTCATGTCCGGTTAGAACTACGGTACGACGTCATGTTATGTTATTAAACCCGTTCCAGTGTGGACGGGTATGACGTACGCCCCTGTGACGTTATTAGCAATAAGGTGGTTTGGGAAAGGCTGTAATGTCTATCGGTAGTTCTGACATTACTAATGCCTATCGACAGTTCTGATCAGTTATTGCGTCCCTCCGTGGCCGTGCTCCTGTCCGTAGTTATTGCGTCCCGTATCCGTGCTCCTGTCCGTACCCAGCCTTCTGGTTCTTCAGGTTCAACTGCTGTTCCTGCTGTTCATAAGGAACGCCGCCCCCCACGCCCTGCTGCGGGTTGGTCTCGTCCAGGTTGACGTACTCGCCCACGATTGGCTCCTCCTTCTGCCCGTAGTGACGTTGCCAGTAGTAGTAGCCTCCGGCCATCAGCGCCACCACCAGAAGCAGCGTGCAGAACACCGCAATACCTGCGGGAGGGACAACAATAACGTAACGTTACATCACATAACAACAGGCGTTACGTTACGTTACATAACAACAGGCGTCACGTAAAGTAGCCTCCGGCCATCAGCGCCACCACCAGAAGCAGCGTGCAAAACACGGCAATACCTAAGGAACAACAATAACGTTACGTTACATTATATAACAGCAAGCGTCACGGGACGTAACGTAACTACAGGCGCCACCACCAGCAGCGTGCAGAACACTGCGACTCCTAAGGGACAACAGGCGGTACGTTACGTTACGTTACGTTACGTTACATAACAACAGGCGTCACGTCAGGCGCCACCACGAGAAGCAGCGTGCAGACCACTGCAATACCTATGAGAGGGACAACCAGCGGTACGTTACGTCATGTTACAACAGGCGATACGTCACGTCACGTAGCAACAGGCGTCACGTTAAGTAGCGTCACGTAAAACACTGCAATACCTGCGGAATACGCACGAGGTCGTTCCACGTCACAATCACATTACAGACCACATACTGCATGGCAAATTTGCATTTGTATGTAATTGTAATGACGGTATCGTGGCATACGTATGCTAATGTACAAATGAGCACAAAACAACCGTACAGACACAGCTACAGATAACTCTACCTGAGATAGCAGGGTACAAGTGTGCGTGGGCGAGGGACAGCAGGATAAGACAAGTTCAAGCAAGAGAAGATATAAGGTAAGAATTAAGGGCCTAATATAAAGAGAGGAAGAGGGGGTAGATGGTTCCTGCAGGAAGTTAAAATCAAGCCGAGCATGCCCGTATAGTAGTACCTGTCCCTTTTGACGCCATGGAGTCATAGTCGAACAGAATGTGTTTGACGGTCTCCAGCGAGCCGTTGTTGGGTCTGGGCGGGATGTCTAAAATCTTGCACATCAGCGGGTACAGGTCAACATTGCAGAACGGTTTAGAGGTCAGACCCTCCTCGAACGCAGGGCCGAAGGCGATGAAAAACGCGCTCATCTTGATGATGCTGTTGTTGTAACCATGGTTACCTGCCGGATAAACACAAACAATAAACAAAGAAAATGAAGGTCAGAATCTCACACCAAGTTAAGTTCACTCTGCATTGAAAGTGGGCTTGTTTCAGACCTGACAGTATGGAACACCGACAGATGAACTTCCAAGCTCAATGCAGTATGGCCTATAAGTCATAAAGAGATACCAAAATCTGTGAAAGAATAAGGATAATAAGGTCATATATTGATTTTTGATTGTTTGTGTGTTGTTCTTGTTCATGTTACTGTAAGCTCCTAGAGAAATTGTTTGTTTGTTTACCTTTGATAGTAAACGCGTTTTGAGTGAAGTTCTGCGCGTAGGAAGGGACTTGTTTGTTTGTTTACCTTTAATGGTAAACGCGTTCTGTGTAAAGTTCTGCACGATGCTCGGCATGATGGAGGGGACTTGTTTGTTTGTTTGATGGTTGTTTTGTTTTTTTTACCTTTGATTTTATTTATTTATTTATTTCATCTCAAGACGGCTGGGTAGCCCCAATTCAGCTTGTATCAGCTGTTTTCCAAGGGGGCCCAGCAAAATTACACAGGACATTGTAACATACAGTAAGACAACATACAGTAAACATAAAAGTCCGATTCGTCAAAACAGAGTCGTAGTCCAATACTCAAAGTCCTATCCGTTCAAGGTCAAAAGCACGAAAATCAAAGAATGGAGGTCAGAGGTCAGGTTTCATATGACATATGTTTCAAGCCTGCTTTAAACTGAGATAGTGTACTGTAGGTACATGTCTTAGGTCTGCTGGAAGTGTATTGAAGTGTGTCGTGCCTCGGAAAGCAAATGTGCGGTGACCAGCTGTAGTTGTGTAGTTAGGTTTGTGCAGTAGTGAAGTCTGTCTGGTGTTGTAGTTGTGTAGCCGGTGGTTATGTACAAATGTGGCATCCAAGTATGTTGGGACAAGCCCGTTGATACATTTAAAAACCATGACACAAATGTGGTCCTTTCTCCGTTGGGTCAGGTATTTCCAGTTGAGTCTGGTGTGCAGGTCCTGGACACTGGATCTTTGTTGCATCCGTAGGACGACCCTGGCAGCTCTGTTCTGGAGAACTTGTAGTTGCCGCTGTTTGGTGGTGCTGCAGTTATCCCACACAGTGTCCAAATAGTCGAACAGTGGTAAAATCAAAGAACAGTAAAACATGCTAGCAATGTTGACAGTAGACAGTTGACAGATAGTAAACGCGTTCTGTGTAAAGTTCTGCACGATGCTCCAGCCGTCGTCAGCCACAGCGATGATCGGCATGATGAAAGGGACTTGTTTGTCTGTATGATGGTTGTTTGTTTGTTTGTTTACCTTTGATAGTGAACGCGTTCTGTGTAAAGTTCTGCACGATGCTCCAGCCGTCGTCAGCCACGGCGATGATCAGCATGATGAAAGGGACTTGTTTGTTTGTGAGATTGTTGTTTGTTTGTTTGTGTGATGTTTGTTTGTTTGTTTATTTACCTTTAATGGTGAACGCGTTCTGAGTAAAGTTCTGCACGATGCTCCAGCCGTCGTCAGCCACAGCGATGATCGGCATGATGCGGCGGTTGTTTCTGTAGTGCCACTGCTTCGGGATGTCTTTCTTCTTAAACACCTTCATCCGGACGCGCGCACTGCGCAGCTTCTTGTAGATCAGCTCCTCCTTTCCTGCAGGAACAGGCAGATTGGGAATTTATTAGTTCGGCTTACAACAGCCAGGGTTGCCCAACTTACAACAGCCAGGGTTACCCAACTTACAACAGCCAGGGTTGCCCAACTTACAACAGCCAGGGTTGCCCAACTTACAACAGCCAGGGTTGCCTAACTTACAACAGCCAGGGTTGCCCAACTTACAACAGCCAGGGTTGCCCAACTTACAACAGCCAGGGTTGCCCAACTTAAAACAGCCAGGGCTGCCCAACTTACAACAGCCATGCAGGGTTGCCCAACTAGACTGTTGTTAAGGGTCATCCATGGGAGGAAATAGAAACACGAATACAACAACGGTACACGGTCTAAATTTACAACTGCACAGGGACAGAGAGACTCAGTATTTGTGACGTTAAAGATTTCCCAGAGAACAGGGAAAAATCTGTGCTGTAAAAACAGAACTAGCGGTGGGTACTGAGCACAGAAGAGAGGTTCCCGTCTGTATATTGTAGTATGTGCCAGCTCTATGTTTTAAAGATAGTCGCTTTACAGTAGCACAGTACAAGCTACAAGTTTCATTACAAGCTTCAGTAGAAGCCCTTTCACTACAAGCCATTTCACTACAAGCCCTTTCATTACAAGCCCTTTCACTACAAGCCATTTCACAACAATCCCTTTCACTACAAACCCTTTCACAACAAACCCTTTCACTACAAGCCCTTGCACTACAGGCCCTTTCACTACAAGCCCTTTCACTGCATGCACTTTCACAACAAACCCTTTCACTACAAACCCTTTCACAACAACAAACCCTTTCACGACAAGCCCTTTCAGTACAAGCCCTTTCAGTACAAGCCATTTCACTACAAGCCCTTTCACTACAAGCCCTTTCACTACAAGCCCTTTCACTACAAACCCTTTCACTACAAGCAATTTCACTACAACTTAGTACAAGCCCTTTCACTACAAGCCGTTTCACTACAAGCCGTTTCACTACAAGCCCTTTCACTACAAGCCCTTTCACTACAAGCCCGTTCACTACAAGCCCTTTCACTACAAGCCCTTTCACTACAAGCCCTTTCACTACAAGCCCTTTCACTACAAGCCCTTTCACTACAAGCCCTTTCACTACAAGCCCGTGTTGCAGATGCCCTTGACCCGTGAGTGGGACAGACTTGGAGGCGCACCATCAACCATAGAGTTATTCCGCCTGATCGGTCAGGACCCTTATCATATACAAATTCCATATCGGGGATGTGCGTCGCTTTACTAACTGCGGCAGTGGCATCATGTTCTACCGGCCGGGTGGGATGGAACTCATTTAATATTTAAATAATATAAGACGTTGTAACGGGAATAAGCTAAAATGAAGAGGTAATTTCAAACACGTAGATGTAGTTTGACAGTTGACTCAGTTGTCTAGCCATTGGTCATTTTAAACACGTAGATGTAGTTTGACAGTTGNTTACGAATCACTGCAACTTTGGTTACCCAATGCCCCAATTTGGCATACCCGGAAGTGACTTAAACGTTCGACTGCATGCAAGCCGAAACCTAGTCGAAACTCCGTATGACCTACGTGGAAACTCAAATTATTTTCACCCCAAATACACCAATTCTTACATTGTTTATCTGACATTTCCAACTCAGATTACCTGCCGCGCCGTACGGAAGGATGCTGTTCAACCCCATTGTCGAATGGAATCGCCCGCACAGTGGGCGTGGCGCGCGCGCGGAATGCTGGTCACCCATTGGTCGCCGCTAGGCTCTGTGGATGCGAAATTGATGTAGGCCCCCCCCCCCGTTACAATCCAGGCCTTGTTACACTTACGGTAACGCAATCCGCGTTTTACCGCCCGTAGCATTGCCATCGGTACGCTGCTCTGCATGGGAAGCAGTCACATGAATCTCACCTCAAGTATAATAAACGGCCCCGTCCCTGCTTTGTTTTCCGGCAGCGTCGCCCGCAGCCAGCTCCATGATTTATCCCCTTATATCATTTCCCGTTACAGATTAGTGATAAGCAGCGCGCGGTGCATGGCGCTGCCTGCGAACCGCGTCCCGGCTTGTTGGGTAGCAGCGGGGGGCGGCATGAAATACTGGTGAGACTCCGCTACTGTACAACCCCCCCATTACCCGCGCTCACACACACATGACTACGGGGTTCTGTGCAGGGAAGATAGGCGGTTATAGCGCAGTTGGGCGGGACATGATGACAGGGTTAGTGTTAGGGCTGTGAGGGGAAGATAGCCGGTTATAGCGCAGTTGGGCGGGATAATTAGAGGGTTGTTGTTAGGGCTGTGCAGGAAAGATAGCTGGTTATGGTGCGGTTTGGGAGGGACATGATTACGGGGTTAGTGTTAGGGCTGTGCACGGAAGATAGCCGGTTATACTTATAGCGCGGTTGGGCGGCGCGCTAACAACTGTAGGGTGTGATAACGACCGTCTACTGAGAGTGCAATCATGGAGACATCATCGTCCCTCAGCTGCAACCAATCATCATCATCGTCCCTCAGCTGCAACCAATCATCATCATCGTCCCTCAGCTACACCCAATCAGCCGGGCCTGAACACCATCTTTACCCGACACTTCCCATTCACGGCGATATTTCTCACGTACAGCATGCTTTAGGCTAGCAGAGAAGCACAACAATAGTGGCAGGCATAGGGCCATACTGCTGCACGCTTAGGACCATAGGGCACTACTGCTGCAGGCTTAGGACCATAGGGCACTACTGCTGCACGCTTAGGACCATAGGGCACTACTGCTGCAGGCTTAGGACCATAGGGCACTACTGCTGCAGGCGTAGGGTCATAGGGCACTACTGCTGCAGGCTTAGGACCATAGGGCACTGCTGCTGCAGGCTTAGGGCGGGCACTACTACTGCAGGCTTAGGACCATAGGGCACTACTGCTGCAGGCTTAGGCCCATAGGGCACTACTGCTGCAGGCTTAGGCCCATAGGGCACTACTGCTGCAGGCTTAGGCCCATAGGCCACTACTGCTGCAGGCTTAGGACCATAGGGCACTACTACTGCTGCAGGCTTAGGACCATAGGGCACTGCTGCTGCAGGCTTAGGACCATAGGGCACTACTGATGCAGGCTTAGGACCATAGGGCACTACTGCTGCAGGCTTAGGACCATAGGGCACTACTGATGCAGGCATAGGACCATAGGGCACTACTGCTGCAGGCTTAGGACCATAGGGCACTACTGATGCAGGCTTAGGACCATAGGGCACTACTGCTGCAGGCTTAGGACCATAGGGCACTACTGCTGCTGGCTTAGGACCATAGGGCACTACTGCTGCAGCCTTAGGACCATAGGGCACTACTACTGCAGGCTTAGGACCATAGGGCACTACTGATGCACGCTTAGGACCATAGGGCACTCACTGCTGCACACCGGCGACTCGCCAGTCACTGCGATATTTCTCAGGTCCAGCATGCTTTAGGCTTAGCAGGGATACATAACGCTATAAGACACTACATGTACTGCTACAGACTTAGCAGGGATGCACAACGCTATAAGACACTACATGTGCTGCTACAGGCTTAGCAGGGATGCACAACGCTATAAGACACTACATGTACTGCTACAGGCTTAGCACAACGCGAAAGTCTTCTATGTTGCGTTAATGCCACTTTAATGTTACAAATCGGAAGCTGACCTTTTTGGGCAGTATGGCTGAGACGGGCGAGTCGTCCACCCAGATGTACCACTCCGGCTTTATGTATCTGTTCAACTCGATCACGCGCGTTGGGGACACCTCCACCATGCCGTGGTCACTCGTCAGGATAATGTTTACCTAATAAACAAACAAACAAACAAGCAATAAACACTTTCACAACACTTCCACCATGCCGTAGCCACTGGTCAGGATTATTTTTACCTAATAAACAAACAAATAAACAAACAAACAATCAAACAAACAATCAACTATTTCACAACACTTCCACCATGCCGTGGTCACTCGTCAGGATGATGTTTACCTATTAAACAAACAAACAAACAATAAACAATTTCACAACACCTCCACCATGCCGTGGTCACTCGTCAGGATGATGTTTACCTAACAAAAAACAAACAATAAACAAACAATAAACACTTGTCGTACAGATCCACCTCCTTCAACGTGGAGACCAGGTAGCCCACGGGCTGTTTTGTTAGGAAGAATGTGTTACAAACAGATATTTGTTAGAAAGTTTCTGCCTACCTTGTCATACAGATCCACCTCCTTCAGCGCGGAGACGAGGTAGCACACGGTGCTGTTTTGTTATAACTGATTTGGAAGAGAGATACTTATGTTATTAAGTTAGAGAGAAATTTTTTGCCCACCTTGTCGTACAGATCCACCTCCTTCAGCGCGGAAACCAGGTAGCTGTTTTGTTAGAAGGGATGAGGTACAGACAGATATTTGTTAGAACGTTACCTTATCGTACAGATCCACCTCCTTGAGCGCGGAGACCAGGTAGCCCACGGCGCTGTTTTGTTATAACTAATTAGGAAGAGAGATAATTATGTTATTAAGTTAGAAGGAAAGTTTTTGCTGACCTTATCGTAGAGATCCACCTCCTTGAGCGCGGAGACCAGGTAGCCCACGATGTCGTCTATCATCATAATGGCGTCGTCCACCTGGCGGGAGTCGGGCCCGTACAGATGCCCGGACCGGTCCGGCTCCTCGAAGAACACGAGTCCCAAGTTCATGGGCTTCTCGTCGTCCATGAGCCACGTGACGACGGCGTCTATCCTGTCTGTGTAGGGGATGCTCCTGTTGTAGGGTCCTGTGGAGTAGGTGGGCAGGCGGCCGCCGTACTTCACATCCCCGCCGGGCCAGTTCACCACGCCGCTGTACCGCCCGTCAGAACGCTCGTTACTGATCCAGATCGGCTCCACGCGCCCGTCCCCGTCCCACCACTTCGGGTCCGAGCTGTTCATCCAGAAAATCTCGCGGTATTTCGGGTCATACATCTTGTTGGAGACGACGCCGTGACTCTCCTCCCACAGACCCGTGACCATGGTCATGTGGTTCGGGTCGGTTTTCGTGGCGAAGGTGGACTTCATGTACTTGGCGCGCACGCCCTTGTTAATGGCAAAGTCGAAGTTTGGCTTGAGCAGCGGCCGGTCCAAGTAGTCATACCGGAACCCGTCAAACGACAGCAGCAGCAGCTTGGGCGCGTCGCTGATCACACTGGGCATGCGTATACTCTGCGCGCCGCTCAGCAGGGCGGCTGCCAGGAACACAAAGTCTAGCGTTGCCATGGCAACTGGAGGGGAGAGCAGGAACCCGGAAGTGACGACTGGAGGAGAGAGCGGGAACCCGGAAGTGACGTTATCGGGACGTCTTCATCAAAGCGGCGGCGGAAATCACCCTGGGAAAATGAAAATCAATTTTATTATCTTATCTTGAAAGTTCATCTGTGTTGGTAGAAGTCATTATGCAGCAAGATTAAACTGTAATTTCCAACACAAGAAATTGTTCATTCCTTGACAAAGACTGGAGTTGTACAGTCGAAAATTTGGGTGAGTCCAATTTCTTGTGTTGGAAATTACAGTTTAATCTTGCTGCATAACAATTTTATTATCGACTATATTTCTGAAAACGACATACACAGAAATATGAACATTAATTTGATGTAACCGAGTCTAATATTTTAGATGAAGTCGCGTCCCTCTCATTTAACATTGTGACATTTGTAAGTAAATGGTAGCAGGACCCGGATCCTAAAGTACTGCCATGGTAGACACCAGTCAGGAACAACAACTAATCTCCAAGCAGATCCTAGGGTGGCAAAAAGACAGTATCAAATTGGCCAGGAAGTATTCATTCGCCAGATAGGGTCCATACGCCACGTATATTGGACCCTCTCTGGCGAATTGATACTGACTGGCCAATTTTATAATGTATTTTTGCCACCCTAGGATCTGCTTGGAGATTAAACAGAACAGAGACAGAAAAACAGTAACTCGATCTTGCTGATTCCATTTTTACCGCCTTGCCTCAGGACATTCTGACATTTGGATGAGCGGAATAATTACGGAAAGCGAATTTCTGATGAGCTTGTAACGACAAGGGTATTCAAGGTCATTCAAGGTCATCCCAGCGTAATCCCCCCGCTTCACGCGGCTCATCAATCATCAGTCCTCCCACACATGCGCATAAATTAACTACGCAGGCCTTATAAGGATACCTTCATATTCAGCACTGCAAACTACATGGTGTTGGTGGTGGGAGTGGGGTGGGGGGTTGGGTACATGTGGCCGCGCCATCTTTGATGTCTGATAACGTCTGAACGGCTCGCGTTAGAACCACCAAACCTGGTAACTTTCTTGAATTAGACGTGGCAGAAATTTCATCTGAGTTGAGTTAATGGCTTTTTTTGTGTTGCCATGGCAAAAGGTTTCTGACACGCATTTTTTGGAAATATCAGTATTACAAATTTTGGTAAGAAACTTTTCACATTTTAAATTTAGTTAAATGTGCTTTCTAACATTAATGACATTTTATGACATTTGAACAATCCTTTATTGATAAGGAACTATAGAGTGGTTATTTGTGACGTTGGGATCAGCTGCTGCGGGAAACCTCAGCTCGCGTTCCGTGCACACATGTGACGTCAATGGGAAGCTATCCCATAAATCATCGCGCTCCCGGGGGACAGGCTGCTGGAAAAGGTCACGCTTGTTCTCGCCTTTTCCCGCGAGACTTGCCCTAACGACTTGGGTGTAATAACTCGTAAATGTGGGAGGATGTCCGGTGCAGCGGCCGTGAAATACCGGCCGGCATGTTTAGCGAGCTGTGAGATACCGGACGGCCGGACGGTCTAATTGCCTCCTCCCGGGTTTATTGCCAGCAGCAGGTTGCTATGGTCAGGCCGGTTGCCATAGTTACTGCCGGGTTGCCATAGTTACTGAGCGGAAGATGAATGTACTTCCGGGCAGATGCTGACAAGATCACCCAAGATGCAGTAGGAGAGCTCCTCACGGAGGCGGCAGAAATAGAAACGGCCCATCCGCATTTCCGGGAATTTACAAGGATGCAGCTTCTGAAGTAAAGATAACAGGGGAATGGACAGTAAAGGAATGATTAAAGTAGAGCCTAAGTAAGGTCCAGAAACACATTTTAGAAGGCTGCAAAAAAGAAAAGAAAAAAAAAACAATTCATGCCAATTCCTGAGACATTTTTTTTCGTTTTTAGTTGTACTTCCTTGCTGTAAACGTTAGACTGCGGGGAAACATATATTATACATTCATCAGTATGCAGGTGACGCTGTGGTAATACTAACGGAACGCGGCGGGCCGACTGATATTAATGTAATCAGCGTATCGCACCTGACAGTCAGATAAATATCCCAGAAGCGAGAAGAAACCCAGTGTCCTAGTGCGTACTGCCTGTGCCTGTGTATGTTGATATGTGAGATACTGGCGGATGCCCAGTATATATATATAGCACCTGACAGTCGGGTGAATATCCCAGAAGCGTCCCAGTGTGTCTGTCCACATGTAGATGTGTATGTTTGTTCACGCGTGACCCGTGCTTACAATAGATGAAGGGATAAACAAGGCCGATATAATACAGCCTTCCTCCATTCAGCACCACGTGAATGGCCCCGCTCCCGAGGGGAATCAGCCGGGGGAGGACGCGTCAGAGATGAGGGATTTATTGATCCGCACATATCGGACGCTATTGTGCGGGGGTGTTGCTGCGGATTGGAGTGGGAAGAGTTAGATAATGCCGTAATTTAGCTCATTGATGGGGAAGAACTAGACAGAAAATTGGTTTCTCATGACTAATGAACACAATCCTCTCAACGGGCCTAAAGCTACAGTCATCAGGGACAAAGGTCACATCTAACCTGACACGTGCTTCAACCTATGACCTGCCTTGACCTGTGACCTGACCTGAAGATATTTAATAATGCACTTTCATCTTATATATGCATATAAAAGATAAAAGATGACGGCTTTGTCATCTCCGCCCCGGTAATCCTCGGCTAACGTCGGGACATCTCGGTTAATCCTCGGCTAATGTCGGAACAAATCGGGAGGCTGCGTACGGCAGACTGACCAGAGAGAGGCTGGGAGATCCTGGTTCTATATATGCGGGGCAGAAACGGCCTGTTTGACATACTCTCCAAGCAGAGGTTGTGGGAAATGATCGTTAGCTTTTTATATATGGTCCTTTTTTTGTCGCTACTCCCACCCACCTTGGGTCGCGCATGGACCCTCTCTAGCCATTGGATACTGCCTGGCCAATTTGATACGCTATTTTTGAGACCCTAGGATCTGCTTGGAGATTATGTTTGATACGCTATTTTTGAGACCCTAGGATCTGCTTGGAGATTGTGTTTGATACGCTATTTTTGAGACCCTAGGATCTGCTTGGAGATTATGTTTGATACGCTATTTTTGAGACCCTAGGATCTGCTTGGAGATTATGTTTGACAGACAAGATGAGTCATCATCAGCACAGATAGGATCAGCATGCTGACGTCACACCTCCATAACCGCGGGCCGCGGATTTTCTGAATGGAGGCGGTGACGTCATGACATTCCCTGGTCCTTAATGAATTATTGATTCGGTGCCGCTGCGAGGCGCGGCGAAATAAGAATGGAATTGTTACACCCGGAATAATTGATTTGTTGATTCGCTGATTACAGAAATTGCGTCTAGTACCGCATAATAGCATGGAGAGTGTAATTGGAACAATCAAATCGCAATGTTCAAGTCCATAAAAATGGATTCTTTCAGCGATATCAATTATCGTATAGAGGGTTTCAGAGGTTTAAATTATCATAGAGGGTTTCAGAGGTTTAAATTATCATAGAGGGTTTCAGAGGTTTAAATTATCATATAGAGGGTTTCAGAGGTTTAAATTATCATAGAGGGTTTCATATGTTTAAATTATCATAGAGGGTTTCATAGGTTTAAATTATCATAGAGGGTTTCATATGTTTAAATTATCATAGAGGGTTTCAGAGGTTTAAATTATCATAGAGGGTTTCAGAGGTTTAAATTATCATAGAGAGGGTTTCATAGAGGGTTTTAGAGGTTTAAATTATCATAGAGAGGGTTTCAGAGGTTTAAATTATCATAGAGGGTTTCAGAGGTTTAAATTATCATAGAGGGTTTCATAGGTTTAAATTATCATAGAGGGTTTCAGAGGTTTAAATTATCATAGAGAGGGTTTCAGAGGTTTAAATTATCATAGAGGGTTTCAGAGGTTTAAATTATCATAGAGGGTTTCATAGGTTTAAATCATCATAGAGGGTTTCATAGGTTTAAATTATCATAGAGGGTTTCAGAGGTTTAAATTATCATAGACGGTTTCAGAGGTTTAAACCAAATCAGAAGAGAGCCTCACATCATTGAATGTGCGGGGGTCTGTATAGCTTACTAATGAAAGTAAGTCAGACTGTATTATTATAACGAGTGTCCCATATATAATGTATATAAAGAGAGTGGGGTTTTGCTATATGCTATAAGCCTCTGCGTGCAAGCCAGACGAAATATTGCCGTATCGTATGTATGTAAGACAGAACGTTGGTTATACAGAGCAGCAAGTATGTATACATGCAAGGAAGAACGGTGATTATATACTGAGTATACAGACCTAGCATGCACGTATGTATGCATGTAAGACAGAACGGTAAATAGGACACAGACCTAGCTGCGCGTATACAGTACAGAGCGGTATCCAGAGTATACAGACCTAGCAGCGCGTATACAGAACGGTATACAGAGTATACAGACCTAGCAGCGCGTATACAGAACGGTATACAGAGTATACAGACCTAGCAGTGCGTATTCAGTACAGAACGGTATACAGAGTATACAGACCTAGCAGCGCGTATACAGAACGGTATACAGAGTATACAGACCTAGCAGCGCGTATACAGAACGGTATACAGAGTACTAGTATACAGACCTAGCAGCGCGTATACAGAACGGTATACAGAGTGTACAGACCTAGCAGCACGTATACAGAACGGTATACAGAGTATACAGACCTAGCAGCGCGTATACAGAACGGTATACAGAGTATACAGACCTAGCAGCGCGTATTCAGTACAGAACGGTATACAGAGTATACAGACATAGCAGCGCGTATTCAGTACAGAACGGTATACAGAGTATACAGACCTAGCAGCGCGTATTCAGTACAGAACGGTACACAAAGTATACGGACCTAGCAGCGCGTATACAGAACGGTATACAGAGTATACAGACCTAGCAGCGCGTATTCAGTACAGAACGGTATACAGAGTATACAGACATAGCAGCGCGTATTCAGTACAGAACGGTATACAGAGTATACAGACCTAGCAGCGCGTATACAGAACAGTATACAGAGTACTAGTATACAGACCTAGCAGCGCGTATACAGAACGGTATACAGAGTGTACAGACCTAGCAGCGCGTATACAGAACGGTATACAGAGTATACAGACCTAGCAGCGCGTATACAGAACGGTATACAGAGTATACAGACCTAGCAGCGCGTATTCAGTACAGAACGGTATACAGAGTATACAGACATAGCAGCGCGTATTCAGTACAGAACGGTATACAGAGTATACAGACATAGCAGCGCGTATTCAGTACAGAACGGTATACAGAGTATACGGACCTAGCAGCGCGTATACAGAACGGTATACAGAGTATACAGACATAGCAGCGCGTATTCAGTACAGAACGGTATACAGAGTATACAGACCTAGCAGCGCGTATACAGAACGGTATACAGAGTACTAGTATACAGACCTAGCAGCGCGTATACAGAACGGTATACAGAGTATACAGACCTAGCAGCGCGTATACAGAACGGTATACAGAGTATACAGACCTAGCAGCGCGTATACAGAACGGTATACAGAGTATACAGACCTAGCAGCGCGTATACAGAACGGTATACAGAGTATACAGACCTAGCAGCCCGTCCCATCCCGTGAAGTGTCATGTTAAAATCTGCGCGAGGTGAAGAGCACTCTGACTGCACGAATAGAGCGTTTTCCCGACTCCTACATTTGCTCACGGGTACATCCCCGGCTCGCATATTATGTATGAATATTATTTTATCAAATCTGCGTCCTGAATAATGTTGACATTCTTGGCAGCCGTTTATCCCATAGATGCTTATGTTTGGGTGTTACGAGGCTCACATTGTGGGGGGACATTGTCGTAATATTTTCAGACAAAATTTAAGCGCCTTGTGTCGCTATTGCGAGTTGCACGCATAAATTTACAGATAGTAGCGGATGGGAAATCTCGGGAGATATTTCTGCGGAGTTTGTGTAGGAGCTTTCCGCTGCAGCTCGCCTGCAGCATACTAATGATACCTGCGGCCTCACCCCAGAGACGCGACATTACCGCTTTATAAAGGCGCTCCAAAGCAGGTTATATCTCTATAAACATCCCTTTAACGTGTATTGTCACCCGAACAATGACAGTACACCCACTTGCGTCACGCATTCTGCTATTCTGACCGTGCCGTTATCTAGTCAATACGCCGTGTATATAGAACAAATCGCCCAAAGTCACAGGAACATTTTTCTGCGGCAGAGAGAAGCCGAAATGTCAGCCTAATAACCTCCGATAGGATCGGCTGCTCTTTAAAATTTCATGACGGGGCAAATTGGAGAAGGCTTTTAAGTGAATTCTGGCTGTAATCTGGCGACGCAGGTTTAATTCTGAAGAAGGTAAGATGAAGGACGTACCTTTGTTGGCGTGTTGCTGTCCGGCGGCGAGGATTGAGGTATTCCGGCAGGAGCAGGCAGCAATGCCGCAGGAGGACGGAAATGCCGCGGGAAGGTGTGAGAACCGAGGCGGGCTGCAACAACTGACGGATCCCGGATCCGCCCATGCGTGCAAACACAGGCGGCCCGGGTCACGTGCGCGCATCCTAATGTGGCCGCCCGGCCTCTAATGTAGCCGTTCTAATGTAGCAGTTCTTATGTAGCAGTTCTTATGTAGCTATTAGGGCGTTCTGATGTAACCGTTCTCATGTAGCAGTTCTCATGTAGCAGTTCTTATGTAGCAGTTCTTATGTAGCCGTTCTTATATAGCTATTAGGGCGTTCTGATGTAGCAGTTCTGATGTAACAGTTCTCATGTAGCAGTTCTTATGTAGCAGTTCTTATATAGCAGTTCTTATATAGCAGTTCTTATGTAGCAGTTCTTATGTAGCTATTAGGGCGTCCTCATGTAGCCGTTCTCATGTAGCAGTTCTCGTGTAGCCGTTCTCATGCTAGTAGCAGTTCTTATAATGTAGCAGTTCTTATGTAGCAGTTCTTATATAGCAGTTCTTATGTAGCTATTAGGGCGTCCTCATGTAGCCGTTCTCATGTAGCCGTTCTAATGTAGCAGTTCTTATGTAGCAGTTCTCATGTAGCAGTTCTTATATAGCAGTTCTTATGTAGCAGTTCTTATGTAGCTATTAGGGCGTCCTCATGTAGCCGTTCTCATGTAGCAGTTCTTAAATGTAGAAGTTCTTATGTAGCAGTTCTTATGTAGCTATTAGGGCGTTCTGATGTAGCAGTTCTCATGTAGCAGTTCTTATGTAGCGGTTCTTATATAGCAGTTCTTATTAGCTATTAGGGCATTCTGATGTAGCAGTTCTGATGTAGCAGTTCTGATGTAGCAGTTCTTATGTAGCAGTTCTTATATAGCAGTTCTTATGTAGCTATTAGGGCGTTCTGATGTAGCAGTTCTCATGTAGCAGTTCTCATGTAGCAGTTCTTATGTAGCAGTTCTTATATAGCAGCTATTTAATAGGGCGTTCTGATGTAGCAGTTCTCATGTAGCAGTTCTCTTGTAGCAGTTCTTATGTAGCTATTAGGGCATTCTGATGTAGCAGTCCTCATGTAGCAGTTCTCATGTAGCAGTTCTTATGTAGCAGTTCTTATATAGCAGCTATTTAATAGGGCGTTCTGATGTAGCAGTTCTCATGTAGCAGTTCTCTTGTAGCAGTTCTTATGTAGCTATTAGGGCGTTCTGATGTAGCCGTTCTCATGTAGCAGTTCTCATGTAGCAGTTCCTATATAGCTATTAGGGCGTTCTCATGTAGTAGTTCTGATGTAGCAATTCTGATGTAGCAGTTCTTATGTAGCTATTACGGCGTTCTCATGCATATATGTAGCAGTTCTTATGTAGCTATTAGGGCGTTCTAATGTAGCACTTCTGATGTAGCCGTTCTTGTGTAGCTATTAGGACGATCTCATGTAGCAGTTCTGATGCAGTAGCCGTTCTCGAATAGCAGTTCTCGTGTAGCTATTAGGGCGTTATCAAAATACATTACGGGACATCCAATACGTCATGAGCACAAACGACAATGTAAGAGGCGTCCGTAACGGAGCCTGCTGTGGAGACTAGAAACTGTCCCGTACCTGCCAAATAAGGGCATGGAGGCCGTGGCGGAGCCTGCTGTGGAGACTAGAAACTGTCCCGTACCTGCCAATAAGGGCATGGAGCCGTGGCGAGCCTGCTGTGCCTGTGGAGACTAGAAACTGTCCCGTACCTGCCAAATAAGGGCATGGAGGCCGTGGCGGAGCCTGCTGTGGAGACTAGGGACTGTCCCGTACCTAACAAATAAGGGCATGGAGAAAAAAAGAAAACGCCTGGGTCATTCTGTCCGCTAACACGGAATGTATGAATGCTGTAGGCCGGTTATCATGTCCGCTATCACGGAATGTATGAATGCTGTAGGTTATCATGTCCGCTAACACGGAATGTATGAATGCTGTAGGCCGGTTATCATGTCCGCTAACACGGAATGTATGAATGCTGTAGGCCGGTTATCATGTCCGCTAACACGGAATGTATGAATGCTGTAGGCCGGTTATCATGTCCGCTACTCGACGGAATGTATGGATTCCTGTTCCCCGGTTATCCTGTCCGCTAACACGGAATGTATGAATGCTGTAGGCCGGTTATCATGTCCGCTAACACGGAATGTATGAATGCTGTAGGTTATCATGTCCGCTAACACGGAATGTATGGATGTTATGGGAAGTCAAGCCCGACTTTGAAGTGCCCGAGACGCCCAGAAGGTATCTCCCGGCAGTTTCCGTTTCCGAGTGCACAAATCTCCAGGCTGGCAGGTTTACGTTCCGAAAGACTAAGAAGGTTATCTTAGGGCCTTGACGGCTGGGATTTCCCCCGGTGTGTATTGATGGGATGGGAAGGGATTACATAGGCGTGCACCGAGACAAGACAGATTGGTTCACTGTCGCCTGGAATCAATATGGTTCCCGTAAAAACCTTCAGTCGCCAGGTGCTATAAGGGCCCGGGTGGGTACAACACCATCTATAAGCCGGTACTGTAGCAAAGGGATGGACACAACACCGTCTATAAGCCGGCAACAAAAGACAGCCGTACGTGTTTGTGTTTGTGCTCATGTTTTTAGTATCTGTATAGCCGGTATAACCGCCTTTCGGCGTAATACACCAGCTTCTGTATCTTTATAGCCGGTATAACAGTCCGGAAAAATCAACGTTCTCTGAAAATTGTGGTTTAGAGTTTATTGAGCTGCCCGCTGTCTCTTTTAGCTGCCCACCCGAGGCTGAGGGTGTCAGCTATTACTCCAGGAAAGGATGAAGTACATAAAACATTACAATTCATCAACACACAATTACATAAAGTTTCACCACATAATTATCTTGATTGAAGAAACAACGGAAAATATGTAAAATTGGAACATACTCGGGAAACCACCCTTCCATGAAATCGCCATCAGCTCAAAACCAACATTCTCGGAAAAACAGCATTTTCTGAAAATAACTAAAAATCAATCTTGTCGGAACATCAACATTTCCGAAAACTCCGCTACGACTCTGAAACGCTTTGGAGCAGTATTGCTGTCCGGAACGCTTTGGGGCATTGCTGTCCATTGCTGTTCCGAACGCTTTGGGGCATTGCTGTCCAATGCTGTTCCGAACGCTTTGGAGCATTGCTGTCCCATTGCTGTACGGAACGCTTTGGGGCATTGCTGTCCCATTGCTGTTCCGAACGCTTTGGGGCATTGCTGTCCATTGCTGTTCCGAACGCTTTGGGGCATTGCTGTCCATTGCTGTTCCGAACGCTTTGGAGCATTGCTGTCCCATTGCTGTCCGGAACGCTTTGGGGCATTGCTGTCCATTGCTGTCCCATTGCTGTCCGGAACGCTTTGGGGCATTGCTATAAAATGCCGCGGCAAATTTTACCGACCGGAGAGGAGTGGGAGCTGACCGGAGAGGAATTGTACCGACCGGAGAGGAGTGGGAGCTGACCGGAGAGGAATTGTACCGACCGGACAGGACTTGAGCTGACCGGAGAGGAATTGTACCGACCGGACAGGACTTGAGCTGACCGGAGAGCTGCATCGATCCCGATTTGCGCACGTCTAAACCAAACGTCAAGCCGGAATTATTCCATCACTATCAGGTGCCACGCTTGGAGGCGCTCAGCCCAAACACAATAAAACCAAATTGACCCTTTCGAATTCTCCTGTCGAGAAATGTGTGTTTCCAGCCGCGTACGTGTATTGCCGCTTTCTAGCTAGGAGGGAGCCTCGTACATATATCGCCGCTCTCTACACGAGCCGAAGCTTCCCCTCGGCAGGCCTGATTAATTGGAAGGATCGCCTGTAAGCTCGGCATTAATCACAGACTTAGCCGTAATTTCATCTAAAAAACGGCCCGCCCTATGCCTACTCAGGATCTATACTATATGTACACGGTCGGTTGTTCAGTTGAAATACAAATTATCACATACTTTCAAGATATTCACCTCATGCACGTCACATCCGGTATGTCAGAGCAGCCGAAAGATAACCGTTTGTACGTCATATCCGGTATGTCCCAACAGCCTACAAGATAAACGCTTGCACGTCATATCCGGTATGCCCGAAGAGCCCGCAAGATAGCTGCCTGGGATGTAATTCAGATATCTGAAGGGAGCGCCTCTAACCTTAGCAATGGCATTTCACAAGCTGAACGCTTCTTCTTGTTAATGCATCAATAATGAATTCCAGGTCCGGATCGTTTTCGGCTACCTGATGTAACCCCGATCTGAGGGATGTCTTCAAACGTCCCTTCTGATAGAAATCCTGTTTAAAATGGGTGATAGGAAAACGCAAAAATACGCATCTAGCGACATGTTTTGGAATAAGGAAGGTAGATTTGCGATAAGGCGCCCCCCACACACACACAAAGTCCCTACATGGAAGTCAAGGCGAAAGTCAGCTCTAAGTCTCCGCTTACTTACATAGGATTATTCCAATCCTCCACTGAGGCCAAGGCTCGACTGTTTTTAATGGACTGTCATTAAGTACTTATGTCCGCTTGGGGATCAAAACGGCTTCAGAGTAATTCCTAATCTTTAAAATCCTCTTATTGGTTGATGATATATAAGTGAAGTTCAGTACACTATCAAGGAAACGTCAGTGCATATCAGGATGCCAGTGCAGGAAACCTGTCACGATACGGGAGTCTTTGTTCTTCACACTTCTGCTGCTGGTAGAATTTCCTCACTAAAACTCCAGGATGAAAACTGCGCGTCTTTTTCCAGATTCTTCCCTCACGCCACCAAGAGACACAGGAGCCGGAAAAAGTCTCACGGAACAGAAGACAGGCCACGGAACAGAAGACGGGCCAGGGGAACCTTAGGGAGCGTCCCGTGACAGAAGACGGGTCACGGAACAGAAGACAGGCCAGGGGAACCGTAGGGAACCTCCCAGGACAGAAGACGGGCCAGGGGACAGAAGACGGGCCAGGGGAACCGTAGGGAGCGTCCCGGGACAGAAGACGGGCCAGGGGACAGAAGACAGGCCAGGGGACAGAAGACGGGCCAGGGGAATCGTAGGGAACCTCCCAGGACAGAAGACGGCGTCCCGGGATAGAAGACGGGCCAGGGGAC